ATCAGCGGGAAAGTGTATTTCTCATAACTGATGATAATTAGCACCATAATCTTCAGTCCAAATAGACAATTAGACAAAATAATTATGTCTCTACAAGATGTCTGTATAATGTTAGTAACTTAGTATGCTTTAGCAACCTAAATTATTCTGTTCTTCTATTATGATAAGTTGACTATGTTTTTCCCCTAGAATTCAATTAATCTCCCCATTCTAAGTATTGATTAAAACTTGGGGAGCTTCAATACTCATATTTTTTCACATGTATAGACAAGACTGAGGGGTTGTGATCTGGTCATGCATGAGCAGGTCTGATACTCATAAACAATTATGGCTCTTATTTTCTCATACAAAGCAGCAACTCAAGCTCTTTTCAAAGTGTAGTCACAATGCACTTTTCAAAAAGAGACACACACCCCCCCATCAAAATCCCTGTTTACTCTCTGCGACTCCTGCAGCTTCTCATGTTTCCTTTGGACTGCCTCCCAAAATTGTGTGCAGACTTTGCCTACCAAAGGGTCTCCTTGATCTCACTGATGCTTTTCTGCCACATCCTGGTTCAGGATTATGCAAGGGAAGAGTCAGCTTGTCTAGATCAGGAGTCTCCAACCTTGGCAACTTTAAGACTTGTGGATTTCAACACCCAGAATTCCTCAGCCAGCAAAGCAAAGCTGGCTGAGGAATTCTGGGAGTTGGAGTCCAAAAGTCTTAAAGTTGCCAAGGTTGGAGACCCCTGCTCTAGAGGGCATCAGCCCATCAAAGGCAGGGATACTCACGCAGCCCAATATTTACCATCTCAGCATTGCTTTCAAAAGTATATATTTTTCAAGTTTATTTGCCAACTGTCACATATTAATCAAAATAAGTTCACAATCTTAAACCTGGAGATGGTAAAGGCGCTTTACAGTGGCCTTGAGTAGACAGAAATTAGGAATAGAGAATTATAATTGGAACTGAAGGAACGTAATTTGTTCAAAAGGAAGTGAAGTGGTAAAAATGGGGAAGAAGCTGCATTTTGAGTCAAAAGTACCCACTTCTGCTCAGAAATTTGGGAATAAAATCTGGTAGTGCAGCAAAGAGCATCTGAGTTAGAAAATGGGGGGTGGGGTGGGGGACCCTATCAAATTGATGCAATAGTTAGGGCCTATAATTGCCTGCCCATCGCAATAAATGTAGGCAGTGCTTCCTACAAGCAAGTTGCAGCTCTTTCAAAGTTGTAGTGATGGGAACATTCATTAAGGAGATATTGGACCAAAGAAAAAGTGCAGAGAAGAGCAACAAAGATGATTAGGGGACTGGAGGCTAAAACATATGAAGAACTGTTGCAGGAATTGAATATGTCTAGTTTAATGAAAAGAAGGACCAGGGGAGACATGATAGCAGTCTTCCAATAGCTATGGGGTTGCCATAAAGAAGAAGGGGGTCAAGCAGAGCCAAGCCACCATCTGCCTGGATGCTTTCATTTGGATTCCTCTGCTGGGCAGGAGATTAGACTGGATGATCTCCAAGGCCCCTTCCAGTTCTAGGATGGCTGTTGCTAGGAACAAGCACATCCTTTCAGGGTCTCAGTGGAGGAGAAGAACCTCTACCCAGAAGAACCTCCAACTCAGGAGGAGAAGAAAGCAGCACACCATAGGTCCTGCTTATGTTACCTGGATCTAGAGGGGTCTGCGCAATCAGGCCTTTCTGTGCACCAAATTACGCCATTAGCTGCCACAGTCTTAATGCAGTTGGGGCTGGATTCAGCCAGAGTGTAAGGATTTCCCAGCCCAGAGGCCAGAAATGCAAATACCCGAGCATTTTCAATTCTCCCATCAAAGGTGCTTTAGTTGAATTGTATGTATTATTAATATTGTCACATGTCATTTTGCTGCAGAGATCCTTTGTTCTGGTCCTGTATATTGATAGAAATGATGATAATTATAACAAGGTTAGATTATGGTGATTACCGCTGTGTTACAGGCATGCTGCTGTAACCTGTGGCATTTTATAGTTACTGTTTAATAATAGCATCACAGTAAGTTCCTCCAGGTGTCATATAAACTAAACACTCCATTTGTAAATGGAATTAAATCCACACTACAAGCATTTGCATGAAAGAGTCAAGACAGCTGTTTTGGTCACCCGAAAAATCCCCAGCTCCACAATGGAGCCATGCTGTCAGGTTTCGATGCTATCTCAAAATACGTCTTTTGGGCTAAATCAAGTCGCAAGACAGAAAGCAAAGTTCATACTCACTTTCCATCAATGGAACAAGAGATTCCACTCTAACAAGGAGTTTCCACTTGGGGAGAGAGACAGCAGGGTCAAAGGAGAATGGGATAAGATCTGTTTTCTTTTGAATCAGATTTTAGTGGCCAAATAGAACTGACGGTCCATGAGTCCTGAATTGAGCTTCATTTGCTTGTGAGATGGAATTGTTGGTTTCTGGCAGTACGGAATGTATAGTCTTTCTGCAGGTGCCTTGGGTGGCTTGACCGCTGGGCCTGGATCCTCAGTAACCGGATTATTCATTTCTGATGGAGTCATGATTATGCTCATTTTTAAGTTATTCAATGGACACCTTTGTTCTCTTGGGATGCCAACAGAAGGTTAGCCATGGCAGTTCCTGAAAAGGAGGAGGTGAGCGCCTGGCAATGGAAGTGCTAATCCTTTGCCCCTTTAGAAGCAGCCCTGTATCGCCTGGTCTGGCACCCAGATCCTTCTGAAAACAGGTACTTTGGCCTGGCTGAGCCCTGGGGAAGAATGCATTGGGCTAAGGGTCATGGTTCCTGGGAAGATCACGTTTGTGTAAGGCTCTTTAAAAATGCCAGGCAAGATTTATGGAGTGTTGGCACATGACATGGCTTTCAGCATTTTTCCTGCTGGGATCTGTTGGACAGCAAGTCCCATGATTCCCAGCCAAAATGGCCATACAGAATTAAGTCGTAATTCCTTGCATGATGTGTAAAGCCACCCATCTTGGCCCTTGGTATCCATAATTCCCATACTGGTTGAGAATATGAGAGTTGATGTCTAAGGTACCTGGAAGACATTGAATGGGGTATTTAAAAATAGCTGAAATCTTCTGAAATGTTGGCTCTTGTCCATTAAAAGTAATAGCAATTTCGCTTCCAGTGATCTGGAAGGGTCCCTTTTGCAAGGATGACGGTTGGCCCTGTGATGCTGCCACCCGCTGTGCTCCTGGCAAGGGTGTAAAACAGACTTCAGTCAACAGACTTGATTGAATAGGCATTCTATAAAGGACAATTCTCTAAAGTAATACTGGTAGTCCTCAACTTACGACCGCAATTGAGCTCAAAATTTGTGTTGCTAAATGAGACATTTGTTAAGTGAGTTTTGCTCCATTTTACGACTTTTCTTGCCCTATTCGTTAAGTGAATCACTGCAGTTGTTAAAGTTAGGAACACGGTTGTTAAGTCTGGCTTCCCCATTGACTTTGCTTGCCAGAAGGTTGGAAAAGGGGATCACGTGACCCCGAGACACTGCAACCGTCATAAATACGAACCAGTTGCCAAGCATCCGAATTTTGATCACGTGACTGTGGGGATGCTGCAACAGTTGTAAGTGTGAAAAACAGTCATCAGTCACTTTTTTCAGTGGTGGTGTAACAAGGACTACTTGTTACTTTAAGGAAACTTGGGAAAAAAGGAGGAATTAAAACTAATTGCCTTGAAACGTGCAGGAAATCAGAGCATTGCCCATTATCTTGTTTTGCAGGAGACTTGCAGAATTTTTGTAATATTTCTTGGGTGATTAGGTCAAACGTTTCATGTAACTTTTAGAACAAAAGTTTACTTTAATATTTGTATATTAGGCAAGGAAATTGTATCATAAACAGGAATTTTCTAGTGACTCAGAGTTCCAGGAACCCCATTTATAGTTAGATCATTTGTGCAAATAAGAACAAGTTAGAACCATTACTCATCATGCTATGCATTTTTGCCTCTGGAGATTAATTGCATTTTCAGAAAGGGGCCCTTGCTCAATCCCTGGCATTGCGGAAGATGGAACACATACACACGTCTCTGGTTTCTAATTATTTAGAAGTAAATTCTATTTCATGTTCTTGGAAATGTGTATAAAAAGTTGATTTAAATAACATTAACAATCATAACATGTACAATGTGATGTGAACAAGAAAGACCAGCCTAATGAGGGATGTCCCTTTGCACTCCCACAAAAGGGCATATGTTCATGTGACATCTTCATGGGTTATTCATTTCTGTGCAGGCTATAAAGGCAAAGTGCAAATCCTGGAGACTTGTGCAATTGCCCTCTTTGGGGATGAAATGTAGACTCCTCGGTCTAACCTACTGGAAATCCTGGCCTTTTCCAGTGGTCTGAGTCTACTTAGTGTATTTTAACATCAGCTGCAATGGTCTCAGTGCCAAGTACTGCAGCCAAGTCACCCTTTTAGAAAAGAGGGTTTTCTATCCATAGGGGTTTGGCTCCCCCTTGTGCTGGTGCCCTGGGGGGTGGGAGAGCAGCCTCCCAGAACAAGAGCAGACACCAAAAGGTGTCCTGATTTGTCTTCGTGAAGTGAGCTCCATGGATAGTGGTGGAGCAGAGCAAAAGACCAACTCCTTTGGATCTGCTCCTTCTTAAATTTTTTAGAACCAGTCCAAACGTTTGAACAGTCAGTATGCCCTACTTTGGAACTGCTTGTAATGAAAGTAGGGTTTTTAAAAAATGGGAGGGGTTAGGGGAAAGGCGAAGGAGTGGGAAGACGCAATGTTTTGGGTGGATGGAAATTATGGGAGATGATCATGCTGCACACCCCTGGGATGGCTGCTTGGGGGAGAAGCACCATAGGGAGGCCCTCTCAGCCTTAACCTTAATCCTAACCAGAATCCTCAGGCTGCTTTTAAGGCAGTGCTGTGCTGGGACAAGTGGGAGATCAGAAGATCTTCTCCACCTCATTTGGTGAGAAAAGCCTGTTGTAATTTGGTGACGATACAAGTCAGGAGCCAAAATAACCTTTTCCCCTTGGGCTCTTCCAGGATGAAGTCATTGCTGCTTCAGAAAAAGTAACTGTGAAGCTTGAAGACTTGGCCCAATGGGCCCGGACAGATATTTCCAAGTGGAAACGTGGCGTCCAGGATGAAGCCCTCACACCTCTGGAACTGAGGAAAGATGGGCAGAGGGAAGCCCTAAGCAGGTTCCGGCAATCCACGCACAACAGTGGCCTCAATTTCAAGGATATTTTGAAGGAAAAGGCCGACTTGGGTGAGTGCTCCTTTGGTTCTTGTGCGAGATTATGGCTTCTGTGATTATTGAGGGGACCAATTTTCTTGGGCTTTTCTTGACTGAAAGGAGAAGGGGTGTGTGGCAGAGACTCAGGGAATCTGGTAATGACTTCTAAGGCAGGGCTCTCCAACTTTGGCAACTTTAAGACTTGTGGATTTCAACTCCCAGAATTCCCAGCATAGCTATGCTGGCTGGAGAATTCTGGGAGTTGAAGTCCACAAGTCTTAAAGTTGCCAAGGTTGGAGAGCCCTGTTCTAAGGTGATTGTAAAATGAAGGAACATGCCAATGTCTGTTGGGCTGCAGAGGATAAAGCGTATTGAAAATTCACTGGAGGGCAAGGATAAAGTGTGAACGATATTTGCGCAAAATAGATGCATCAGAGTCAATGCAAACTGCCAGAATTTAGAAGGAGGGCCACTGCCAAGGCCACTGTAGGGACCTCTGCTGTCCTCCCTATGGGTCTTGTGTAAAATGGTCAAGAGAGTTTTTTTTTCCTTGTATGTGGCTTTCATTGGGCCCCCTTACTCATTTCAGTGGGGCTTTCCGATGGACTAGGTGTTTTGCTTCTGTCTTTATAAAGCCTAAAGCTTAATATGGTTGCTTGTTCCCTGGACATTTCGTTGCCCAGTGGCTGAGCCTCTGAAAGATTCCATTTCTGGGTTTGGAAGACATGAAGCTGGCTCAGCCTGTCTCCCCCTCTGGCATCTGCGCCCCACCAATCCTGCCACCACCATCTAAGCTGGTGAGAGTTCAGTCTCACTCAGATCAAAACACTTTTAGAGGCCTGGATGTTAAACATTGCCCACCTTCGTGTTAGTTAGAAGGTTAAGGGGATCACATCCCCAGCTGCCCTGTTAATGCTTTCCATGTTTTAGTTATTTTTCTACAAGCTGTTGGGCTTCTCCGAGACAGAGCCTTTTTAAAGGCTATCTTCTGTTTTGTAAGCTTCTAATAAACTGCATACATATACTCGTGTATCTAAACAGAAACTAGCAAGTTTATCCAGAAACCAAAATAATTAAAATAAATCTTCAGAGACTTCTTTACAAGATCTCGCCTTTATATACTTTGCCCAAGAATTTGAGTGGCACAATCAATACATAATCCAAAGGATTTAAGGAAATCATGTTGTCTGGCAGGGCGATGTAAGAAAAAAAAATCCTGTATCCCATCGGATTGTATCAGTTGAAGTTTTTCCAACAGACATGTTTTCCTTTCAGAAAAGTGTAATTTCATGCTCTGTTCTGGGATGCGAAAGCCCAAAATGCAGGGAACTCTGCAAGTTTCCAATCTCCTTGTAGAAGCCCCATGAAAGCTCTGACCCAAGGCGGGTGGCCTTGACTTATCGTGGTTTCTTTATTCAAAGCTTCAGCGAACCAGAAGATGACCTCCTTATTTTGGGGAGGTACATATGGACATAATCTTTCATCTTTGTTTCATTGCTGCTGGGTCTTGGGACCCTTTGGGCTTTCCATCTCGTCCTTCAGTGGACAGAAGTAGATTTTTTATTTCTGGGAGAGCCTCTGCCTGGCAGAGTTGAGGTTTTATTTCAATCAAAAGATGGGGTTCCCAAGGTGGTGGAAGATTGGGAAAGATTTCTGATGTGTGGCAGGACAGAATTTTTACTTCTTTATCCCATTTATTCTTTATAAAAAATCCTTTTCTTTAATTTACAAGTATGGTTTGGATATTAGTCTTTTTAAAAAGCCCTGATGATAGTTTGGTACTAGTAACTAGAGTATTTAAAAAGTTTCTGATCTGATTGTGGATAAAATGTTAGACTACATTAGCAGAGATTGTTTATTCAGATTTTTCACAATCATTATTTGCCAAATAATGGTTTATAATCGTGTAATCCTGAACTTTTCCTTGGTAAAACAGACCAGTAGTCACAACCCTTTGAGAAGGAATCCAAGTTGACATAGTGCCAGTGTACAAGCAGAGTCCAACTTGGCTCGTCTTGCGCAAGCAGGTCAGCGGGCCAGATGTGTAGCTTGTAGTTATTTCTAAGCCCAGGATAACTGTGAATTATTCTTTACACATCTCGTTGTGTCATGTGATGCAAGTATAATTCTTGCTTGTTTGGGATTGGGAAGTTTATGGGTCAGTGTGTCAATTTTGTGTGTCAGCCTAGGAAACAACTTTGTTTTGTTATCCCAGGATTAGGGTATAATGTAGTGTGTGAGCCAGCAATAGTGTCTGAGGCCAAAATGACAGGGAAAAGCTTTCCCCAGAATCCCCATAATAAAACTGTCCTCTCTAGAATATTTGACAACATGAAACTGACTAAATAGATCAGCCCAGCTGGAGGCTGGGATATAAAAATGCTTCGGGTAACAAACCACTAGAGAAAGCAACCAAGGGGCTTCACACCTCCCTCTGTTGCTGGCCTGGTTGTGCAACCTGTGCCAGAGTCATTCTGGCCAAGGAAAACAGTATTTGAAAGATGCTGGGATCAGAGAATTGGGCTGGCCCTGGAAAGAGAAAGGAACTGGGTGGGTTGACTTCTGGTTCAGTTCCAAGCAACGGACATTGAGCTGGTTCTACCTGGTCCAGTACATCTAAGAAAGATTTTACAGAAGTAAGATTACAGAGGTAAACCCCAAAACTCCAAAGGCAGCTGAAGGTAACTGCTCTATTGAGATGGATACAACAAACTGATGTGATAAAATTGGTTAAGTTCCTGGGAATCCTAATGTTATCCTTGATTTTATCCCACTGGCTAAAACTAATGGGGATCGGATGCTGAAGCCCCTGGCAGCCCTTTGCTCTTTGCAGTGCTCAGAGCAGCTCAGCAGCAGAAGAGCAGGGGACGGTTGAGGGCCTCTGTGGGTCTCCTGAAGGAAAGTCTCAAGTCCAAGGTGCTCTTAGTCAGCAGGAGAGCAGAAGTTGCAACCGTCACTTGATTTATATCAGGAATGCTGTTTCTTTTAGACATTTATCAAAATAACAGAAGTTCAGCCTTACCCTATAGATAATAATAGAACTGGTTGTGGAATGTGTTATTCACATTAAGTATGTCAACCTGTTTTTCAAGATAAATTCATTTGATTAAATCATTTATTTGATCCTCCTCTGCCACCTCTTCTTCCTCCTTCAGATTTATGATATTTTTAGTTGACTTGCATACCCAATATTTGATAAATCAGCATAGTTGAATGAGGGTTTGTTTATTCCACAGGCTTTGAGCAAAGCAATCCACTTGAAGGCGGGGGAATGCATATCTTCATTCATGTATTCATTCATTGGTCTACCTATTTTTCAAGAAAAGAAGTCAAATTATTTTATATAACGCTGCTTCTTACAGAGTTCCTTTAAATGAAGTATGAAAGCTTCTTTTTAGGTTTTATTGCCCCATAAAGGTGTCATTATAGGTGCGCTCTGGTTATATGCATTGAATTGGTGTTTATGCAGGAAACTATGTCACTACAGGTTGATTTTTTTCTTATTGCCACCCTTTGAGGCATACCGTAGAAAGTGTCTTAGCATAAGGTTATTAAAACAGCATTCTCGGGTTTGCAGTGAGTTTATTGTCAATTACGCAGCCACAGACTCTGAGGACAGGCAGTTATAAATGGCTTCATCTCCAAATGTGCCATTGGAAAAAGACTGGACAGTCAGAGCTGGGCTTGCATGGAAATGGGAAGAAGGAAAGAAGGACTCAACGTTTAGTAGAGGGGACTCCATTTATTGGGGTTGCTGCCCTACTTCTTCCTTTCTTATTATCGGGGTGCTCTGGCTTTATTGGATGAATCAGGTGGAAATTGTGCCTGACTTTATACCTCACCCTCAGTCTTCCTTGAGAACTGAACAAGTTTATGCAGCGTGTTAAGACATAAATAGTGGTTCATAAACTGTCCACAATTCCAAATCTTGCTTGTTTCCCCTGGGTTATGATGTTGCATGAATCTGGCAGCACTGTATCTCTGGGCTCGGATTTATGCCAGGCCAGTTGCTAAGCTGATGGCTGAGTCTGGTTTTAGGAAATGAATGCATGAAGTTTTCTGTGGAAGCCAAAACTTCTTTTTTCCTGAGGTTTTCCTGGACTCTTTTCATAAACCACCACCACCAGGGCTGACTGTGGTTTGCAACCACCATCTGTGGTTTGCAGAATGGAAAGAAATGAACAAATTGATTTAGTGACAGAGCAGACAACTTGTGACCCCTCAGACAGAGTGAAATTCTACTTCATGCCAGCCAGTCCGGTCAATGGTGAGGGCAGGGGGCATCTGCCAACCAACAAGCTTTGAAGGGCATATCTTGGTTAGTGTCCTGTCACACTAACTAGCTTTGCTCCCTCCCATGGACCTTCCATCATTTACCTGCCAATTTGTGCTTGCTGAATTTGATGTTGTGGGAAAATCAATGAAATGGGGGAAGAGGTTACTCAAGTTCCCATACTGAATTATGGTTTGTTTCTCCTGTTCAATCAGTCCATGAGGATTACAGAGGTGGTTAGGACCACTTCACTCAATTAGAAACTCTGTGTGTGTGTGTGTGTGTGTGTGTGTGTGTGTGTGTGTGTGTGAAGGATGGAGAAGTTTAGCGTGGGGGGGTTCATGCCTTGAACTGCGCACAAGGCATTAGAAGGTAGCTATTTTTTATCTTGTCTTTTATTTAGCATGGTAAGAACAAGATACATTTTTTGTAGATGATGAACGTCTGGAATTAGTATGACTGTCACAAATTACAACACACATGATCTGTCTTTCAATAATTACTTTGTGGCATAGATTGTTTCACAGTTTCTTTCATTAAAATGTGAAATATGAATTAAATATGAATGCTTGGAGCAATACTATTTATGGTGAAGTCATCTGGAAAAGGTTGGATGTGCTGGTGGTGTTATTTCCTCTCCCCACCCGTTGAGTAAGAAATTTAAGATGATTTTTTAGAAATGAGTGGCCGGAATATCTTGTATGTAAACTGAGAATTCCTAGGCAATCTAAACTCAACAGAGACAAAAGAAACATAGTCA